TTCACTGAGTTACGCAAGCCCCTTCGCCACGACAAGGCAGTGATCCATGAAGGGGAATATGTAGATTAGCATAGTTTATAAAATTAATTCATTTGTCATAGTTAACCAGTCAGATATTGATAAGTTTATACAGTGTTTAATTTTAAGATAGGATTAGACATAACTTTTTTCTATGTTCTTTTTATGCTTTTGCCACTTTTTGTTTTTCCAGTATTTTGAGAGAATTTTTTTTAAATAAAGAAAACAATAGTCTGCTCATATCCTTTATAATCCACAACTCATTATGTATAAGCGTTTTTAAGTATGACTTCCTTCCTTCCTTCCTGAACTATTTGCCACTGGTTTCAATGAACATAATAAAAGTTATGCATCCTTACTTAAAAGTAATCCCCACTGAATGCAGAGAAACTGGTCCCTGAATAAATATTGCAGTGTGTGTATTCAGTATCAGGATGCCAGAGAACAATGTAGCTTTCCCAACATTTCAAATGATCAAAAACCAGGATGGCCTCCTTGTCCCCATTCCTCCCCTCATGGGAATATTTATTGGTTTTGTTTACATCCTTTCAATTGAAGATGTTTATAAGTTCTTTCTGTTTGAAATGAGACATCTTAATAAGTAGGTAGTAAACCAGCATGTAATATTCTTCTCAAGCTCCCAAAGAAACTGATTTACTATCAGTTGAAACTAGTTTGTGGCCATGTTCCTTTTCTTTGTATTAAAAAGAACAGATTAGTTGCTGAGAAGCTATTTAGCTAAAGATGTTGGTCAACTCAGATATGTTGAGTCTACATAAGTAACTATGCCAATTATCTCTTTTTTGGGAAGTGATACAGCTTTCAGATATTATTTAAAAAGTCATGTGTTCTACTCAAAAAGAGTATCAATAATCTGCCTCTTGACTCCTTCACAAAGCGTCTTTCTAAAATATTTAGTGACCATGGTAGAAGGTAAGACTGTTTTAATGAAGCCTCAAGTACATGGGAAGCCTCGTTATTCCTTGTTAGACGGTATCACTTAGAGTTGCAAGAACATCCATAGTATTGCAGGTGGGGAAAGGATTAATTTGTCTTTTTTTCTTCATTCAGGCTGGCTTATTCATTGATAAAGGAGTAAAAACCACCAATGCAAGTGCTGCAGATAAAAGGGAATACCTGTCTTTGGACAATAATGCAAGGTAAAACAATTTTTTGGCCTGGGGTACAGAATGGTTAAAGATTACATCTAGAAAGTATTGTCCAGAATTTTAATATGGTAAGACTTTCAGGTAGAATCATAGAATGCAAGAATCGGAATGGACCATGGGGATTCTGCATCTGGCCACTGCAGGATTCCATTACTATAGCATCCCTAACAAATGGCCCTCCAGCACCTCCAGAAGAGAATAAACCATCTCCTAAGGCAGTCTGTTTCATTGTTGAACAGTTCTTAATATAGTTTTTTCCCCCCAATTCACCTTGTAATTTAAACACACTGCTTCTTCTGGAACAACTATGATTACTTCTTCCCCATCTTCCGTATGACAGCCCTTCAAGTAATCGGACACAACTATTGTATCTCTCTGAAGCTTTCTCTTCTCAAGAATCAGACTAAAAATGCCTGCTACCTCCAACTGTTTTTGATAAGTTTCTTTCTTATATGTCCCTTATATTCTTGTTTGTTAACCTCTGGTTTCTCCGCTTTATCAGTGTCCTTCCTAAAATGCAATACCCATAACTTAATGCAATATTGTACATGCAGTCTGACTAACAGAGAATGACTTCTCTTAATTTTGACAGTATTATTGATGACTAGGATTGCATTTGCTTTTTTAGCAGCTGCATCACACTGTTCACTCATGTTCAGTTTGGGATCCATCAAGCCACCTAGGTCCTTTTTGTGGGGTCTACTATCCTAGATGATCTCTCTATATTATACTGATGCCTTTGATTTTTCTATCCAAATGAAGAACTTTGCATTAGTCCCTTTTGAAAGGTTGCTATTTCTGTTTGTTGTTCCAAATATGAAGATGCTGTTGAATCTTAATACTGTTCTCTGAAGTATTTGCTGTCAAATACTCTGTGCCATCCAGAAATCATATTTTTAACATGTCATCCAAGTCATTTATGAATATGTTGAACAGTACAAGGTCTAGAATGTAGCCATTGACCTGCAATCAATTTTTCAACCAGATGGTAATATAGTCCAGTCCACATCTTTTCTGTTAGGGACACATGAGAAATCTTATTAGATGTTTTGCTGAAATCAAGGTATACTATGTCCACTGCATTCCCCTGATCACTAAAATTACTGTGTAACAAGGGAGATAATCTTGGTGTGGCATAACTTGTTCTTGATAAACCAGTGTTGGCACCTACTAAGCAAAGCGTTATTTTCTAAAAATGAAATAAGTTGTTCAAAGTTTTGCCTGGTATAATTGTCAAGCCGGTGGCTCTGTAATTATCCGGATCTTCTTTTTTTACCCTTTTTTTGAAGAAAGGATCAACATTTGCCCTTCTCCAATCCTTTGGTAATATAGTTGTGCTCATGATTTCTCAAAGATCACAGAAAGGGGCTCTATGGTGACATCTACAAGATCTTTCAAGACTCTTAGAATAATTGATTTGGTCCTGGACACTGAAAGTCATTCATGGGAGCTAGATGCTCCCTAACTATCTGTTTACTTACCTTGAGTTGCTGCTCCTTCCTTGTATCAGCTATCTATTTGAAAGCAGTTCTTTTTTGGGGAGAAGACCAAAGTAAAGTGGGACTTGAGGGCTATGCTTTTTCCCTGTCACTTGTTATTATCCTACCATCTTCTCCAAGCAGTGACATAGACAAAAAGCCCTTTTTGTTGCTTGTAACTTTGAATGTGAGCCCAAGTGCCTTTTGCAATTTAGCATTTCTGACTTTCTTTCTGCAGATATTAGCTAAATATTGACTATTTATCTGCTGATACCTATTAGCTAAATAATAAAATATTCCAGTTTTCATTTATTCTTGCCTTCTTGATTGCTTTGAGTACTTTCTCCTGCATCTCTGATAGACTGCGATTAAGGTTATGAATAGATACACCATAGATCTGTTGCTCCATTCCATTCAGGTTTTTGTCTACAGTTCTCTGCTGAATTGCTAAGCTACTTGGTGTCCTGGTGCCCACACTGTAAGAGACTTAGCTTCTTCATTCCAGCATACCACATTATGCTGTAGTACATTGTATAAGGCACTGTATTAGAGGTATCTGAATCACCACTGAGTTTTGTCTACAAGTTAGATGGTTGCTCATAACTTCAGTGCTTCCTGCCTTCTAAAGAACAAATTGGGAAAATAAAACAATGTAAGGAGTATGTAAACAATAAAGTTCATACTTTTCTCCATTCCAATGGGAGATTACTAGGAAAAATTACACATTCCTTAGGTCAGGGAGTAGAAGTAGACTGCTATTGGAAGTTAATTCATGTTAGACCTAGCTAGCATGAGAGTTTGTAGTCCAACAACTGTGGTGCCACAGGGGTCTTCTATCTCTGTTTCTGGGTCAAGTCCAAGCCAATCTTTGATTCCATACTCCATTTATTTAATATTGGAGCTGGTCTGCTATGCCAACCAGTAGCTTTAATATTTTGGACATATAGGCAGATTTGCCTCCAAGCCAATACAATTCTGTCTATCTTTCATTTATAAGGTTTCGGCCTCATCAAGATGCAAATCCCGAGAAGCCCCGAGTTGCTGCTCTCATAGAAAGACTAATAGCTTATAAAAACAATGACCATGGGGCTTGGGTCAGAGGCGGAGACATCATCATTCAGAACTCAGGGTGAGTCCCCCAGAGCAAATGTGTGCATGTTGCTAAAGTAAATAATACTTCTAAACAGGGCTGCCGGAGTTGACTGCACTCATTAACCTAGTCATGTTACTTTCTGAGAAGGTAGCAGTAACATATTGTATTGAAGTTGACTTACTGAGATTCATTGATTTCTGGCAATATTCAAAGTAATTCAATGTTTTCGAGAGGAATTTAACCCATGTACTACAGATATGATTTGAAATGTTTCTTCCCCCTAGAGTTGCTGAGGGCTTAGAGCTGTGATATATAAGCAACAAGATCACTTTTCTAACTGTATCTTTTTTCTCTTTGTGTTTTCTGTTTATGTACAGTGAAATCCTAGTTATAGTGAAATCCAGGGTGATCATAATGCCATGGCTTGTAATGTGGTACTGTTATAATACCTGATTATTTCTCATCCAAATAATTTATTTCCTGATGGCACTTTTGAAGACACATTTGAACTACCCAGAGTTGCTGGGAGTCGGGCAGCATATAAATTTAAAATAGTAATAATTATAATTCTTATCATTTGGTAATAATATTACTATTACCAAACTTGTTATTACCTACACATTTCAAGCAACCCTTTTTTTGCTGTTATCTTTTTACATGTGCTTTGAACCAGCCACTTGTATTTGTGAAATAATGGGTATAGTCACCAAGCTCTGATTCATTATCTTCTCCCTGCCTGGATCAAATTCTGAGCCACATTTTGAAAGTGTATTTATTTTAATGCTAATCAAAAAAGAGCTGCTTTTTAAAATAAGTTATTTTTTTCTCTCCTAGATTTGCTGACAATGGAATAGGTCTAACTTTTGCCAGGTTAGTACTACTTGGTTTTATTTTCAGTGGTTGGCATCAGTTTAGTTTACTGGACACTACTGGATAGGGTACAGACATAGACACACATTTATTATATCTTATTTCTCCTCTAAGGAGGTCAGGGTGGCACACAGAAGTCTCTTCATTCCTATTTTATTTTCCTGGCAACCTTGCCAGATAATAAGCTTCAAAGAATTCAGATGTCACCAGATTTCATTAGTCTAGTTCTCTCATCAGGCCATCGTGCTGGATGAGGTGAAGAACAAAGGCAAAACCATGCAAGAATGTAGTGGTGGTGAATATAGCTGCAGATCTCATTTCTACTGTTAAATGAGATGCATGCCTTGCTAGTACTGGATTTTTGACATCTACTAAAAGTCATTTGTCTTTGTTTTTGATAGTGATGGAAGCTTCCCAAGTGATGAAGGCTCCAGCCAAGAAGTCTCAAACTCTCTTTTTGTGGGTGAAAGCAAGAATAATGGTTCTTTAGGAGGCCAGAACAAATATTGGGGGACTGGAGGGGTAAACAATATAACACGCACACTGCCTAGAAACCGGTAAGTGTTTAATAGCTGGATATTAAAGCGTGGCTGCAGCTTGTTATCTGGCTTATTTTTGTGGTGGCAGCAAGGATAGCCTTTGATAGGCACCATGACTTTATTACTTGGTTACAAGCGAAATACAATTTTGCTTTGAATTACAATGCAGAATCCTTACAAACACACTGTGACAGTTTTGCAAAAGTGAGGATCAAGGCAATTGCATCCATCAGAATGTTGTGGAAAGGACTTGGCCCAGTACATCTAACCACTTGTATGTTCTTCTTTTTCATTCCTTGGAACCCTACAAAGAGGATGTCTAACTTGTTCAGGAGATTATTCATTTTTTTTCCTTAAGAAAAAAGAAAGTTCTTTAAAAGAGGTGATAATTAGATAGTTCCTGAAGAAACTTAGCCTGGATCTGGAAGATGTAAACTGATGGATGGATGGCAGCATACCTTTCTTGGCAAAGTGTTAACGTGGATGGTTGCCAAACACTTTCAGTCATTCTTCAGTTACTCCTCAATATAGCAAAGTATAGCTGGGAATGACAGATATTTCCGTATTATGCCCACTTCTTATCATCTACACTTGTTTCTAGTTGGCTTCCCTGCCCAGTTCAAAATGCTACTAAATATTTAAGTTCAGGCTACCTAAATAATTGTCTCTTCCTATATTTCCTGGCCTTTTTCATAGGATCATCTTTCTCTAGACTCTCTGACCAGAAATTTACTTTTTAGTGGTGGCATGTTCTCACTTCACACTTTGATCTTTGATGCACACTTCTGCATTGGCCAGGTCTTTTCAGGCTCCTTGTTACAGTCTCATTTTTAAAATCTTTAATGTTTGTTTAGTGCTCTGCACAAATATATCATTTTCTGTTCGCTTCTGTGTTGTCATGATTTGGTTTTAGACACACTTCTTGCATTTTATCCCTGATGTTTTTAAATGATGACTTTAAACTGCCCAGAGAATCTAGTTAATTGGATAGTAAAGAAACATTGTCAGTAAATAAGTACACACACATGCATCTTTAAACAGCCTGTATATGTACTCGAAATCCGTCCCACTTGTAGAATTATGAGCCACATCCACACCTTATGGATGAGCTGTACAGAACAAAATATGTGACTGTTTCTATAGTAAAATATATTGATTGATTATGTGCCATCAAGCCGTTTTCACCTCCTAGTGACCATGTAGATAGATTGTCTCCATGACAAACTATCCCCAGCCTGTTCTTTCAAGTCTCCCAAGGTGCACTTATAACTGAGTCCATCCACCTTGCTGCTAGTCATCCTCTTCATCTCTTTCTTTCCACCTATCCCAGCACTAAAGTCTTTTCCAAAGAGCTGGGTCTTCACGTAATGTGTCAAAAGTAGGATAATTTGAGCCTGATCACTGCCTTGAATGAGAACTTTGGGTTGATTTGTTCAATGATCCATTGGTTTGTTTTCTTGGCTGTCCGTGGCATTCTCAGGAGTCTTCTCCAACACCAACGTTCAAAGGTGTCAATACTCTTCCTATCCTGCCACTTTAAAGCCTAACTTTCACTTTTGTAAAGTGTCACAGGAATACCATGACTTGTGTGATTCTGATCTTTGTAAGTATAGACACATCACAGTATTTGAATATCTTTTCCAAGGCTTTCATGGCTGTTCTACCGAGTGCTAGTCCATGGCGTATTTCTTGATGGCCTGTTCCTTTACTGTTGATGGTTGATCCTAAAAGGCCACCACTTCAATATCTTCATTGCTCTTGGATCTGCTAATTTACAAGTATTACAAGTCTTGTGCTTATCTGTTCTCAAATGGATTGGAAATAAGACACCAAAATTAAACCAAAATCTACCTGTTGCTTGATATCTTTTACCCACATAATTATTTTTCACTGGTTTCTTTAAGGAGCTTCAGGGGATTCAGCAGTCTCCATTTGCCATTAGGACAATCAGAGGGAGAAGAACAAGGATAGAATTCATTAACCAGTCTGATTGTAATTTTCATGCTGGGAGGAGGACTTTGTAATTTATTTATTTAATGTCATGTTGTCTGAAATTATTGCCATAGCCTTCAACTAAGGAGTAGTAGAAGGTCCAGTAATCAAGGTGTGGCCCAGAATAAAGACTACACTTGAAAATACAGCATACAAACATTTAATATAAATTTTGCCATAATTTAAAATCTTACTGACTCTCATATTTAATGGGTTTTATTTCCTAATAACTGTCCTATGGATTACCTGCTTATTATGTAAATATTTACGTCAGTAAAGAAAGTGATGCTTCTAAACATTTTTCTGCTTTTAATAGGACTTATCCAATCCGAGGGTTTCAAATTTATGATGGACCTATTCGTCTCACCAAATGTACATTCAATAATTTTGTGCCAACTACTGATAGATTCACTAGTGCAATTGGGTTCCTACTAAAAAATGCCTGGCAAATTACACCTCAAAACAATATTTCCCTGGTGGCGTTTGGTGAAAATGTAAGTTTTCTAATTCAAGTTGCTTTCCCCACATGAAAAAGGAAAGGAGTTTGAAGACAATGGTGGTGATTAGTGGCAATAGACTAATGTTCTTTTTGTCTTGTAAGGTTTCTCTGAAAGTCTTTTTTGGTAAGCCTGGCCCTTGGTTTGAAGAGGCTGATCTGGATGGTGACAAGAATTCAATATTCCATGACGTTGATGGATCAGTGACCGAATACAAAGACACTTACGTTGGTAGAATGGATAACTATCTGATTCGACATCCAGACTGTTCTGACTTTGCCAAGTGGAATGGTGTAGTCTGCAGTGGAACTTTCGCTCAGGTTAAAAGAGAGATGTGAATGTTCTGTAGTATGCATGAAACATGAATAGCAGAAATATTTTTGTGTGTCTGCTTTCTAGAAGAAAAGATTGAATTATTGATTTACATTTATAATTCAGCAGTTGGAGTATTCATTAGCTGAGTGTATGTTCTGTCCTTCTGTCTTCTCACCCATGCCCATACAGTGGCTGTGTTTGGATTATAGTCTAAACCACAAATTATCCTCCACTTTTTAACCTGTGGTGTAACTACTTATGATTCAGTGCAAACCCAGAAGATTAAGTTAATCCAGGAAATGAAAACTAAGTTAACATGAACAAAAACACAGCTACATCATTCATTCACCATCATCTCTATTTCCAATTATTTTTAAAGTAATGCTAATTAATGCAAAATACCTGCATGAAGAAAGCAAATACAGGGTTAGGTTTATGAAGAAAGAATAAATCCATTATATTGTTTTATCCATATCATATTTACAGTTTTTCTACTCCTTGGGACATGAGAGAGAGGAAGTATAAGTAACATGTTGAGCTGTCTATGCTCGGTGTACGATAAAAGTGCTTTGTTTTACTAACGTGCCTTCTAACATGCCATATTGTGTATAAATACTACAGTAGAGCTATGGTTTCACAAGGAAGAGATTATGCTGAGACTAATTCTGTTCAAATGTGGCTTAGAGGATTAGAAAACCTGAACATGTGACTCATAGTCTCTCCAGCATTCCTGTCTGTGACTTCCTTCTGACTTTAGTCTACCTGAAACTTAATCATTCATCCAGTGATACTAGATTTCCAGTCAAATCAGAAACAATTCAACCCATGACGTCTAATTTTATTTTTCAGTTCTTACGGCAAACTATGGGTAGGGTTGGATGACAAAAAGAAATAACTGCCCACAAGGAGGAGTAGCTAAGCCCCAAAACTTTTATCTACCCCATAGTTTTAACTGAACCCTTATTCTTATTTTCATTATATTGTATAATTCATTATAAAAATAGTTTTCTTCATTCAGAGTTCTTATGTAATTGAGACTTACTTGGATTGCACCCAGATCATTCATACCACATTTGCTTTTGGTAGATCAGGCCTTCGTCTTTTCTGCAGACTTAGCACTTCCTCTTTTGTGGTCTTATAGGTGTACATCCAGATTCGGAATCCACAGAATCTTACCATGACTATGGTACGAGATGAGTATCCTTCCAACCCTATGATACTTCGAGGTATTAATAATCAGAAAGCTGACTTCCAGCAATACCAGCCAGTTGTGATGCTTCAAAAGGGCTACACAATCCATTGGAATGGACAAGCCCCACAAATAACTTTCCTGTACCTCATTAATTTCAACAAGTACGTTTGCACATAGTGTTCTGTTGTGATAGATTGCTATACTACTTAAACATGTAATCAAGAGTATTTATGGGCTTTAACTTAGATGGAACCTGACAGATCTAAGGAAAGTATAGACATGAATCTTTATTGCGGTCAATCACCACTCCATAAAATATATTGTATACATGTAGGTAATATTTATTAGCCAACTAGGTAAACAGATCAATATGATTTCTGTGCATCTTACATATTACATGACAAAATTTGGCCATACTTAAGGAGATAGAATGATTTGGATCTGAAAGTAAAAGCTTTAAATAAAACTGATCAGAGTGACCAGGATATTTAATTAGGTGTGAGGTTAACAACTCATGCCATGTGTCAACATAAACAGTATAATGAAACTTGTTTAGTGGTTTCCAAGGCTGCTTCACCACATAGGCAAAGTCTGGAATTGAATGGGATGCCCTCGTATGTCTCCTCCAAAACCTCTGATAGAAGCATATTAACCCATGCCAAGGTGAAGGCCCTCCTTAATTTGGGGATGGTAATTGGTTTAAATACCTTCAGGTCTATAAGGGGTACAAGGACTACTTAGAAATATGTCTTTAAGAAGGGACATCTGTCTATTTGAATCTTGGTGTCCTTAAGGCATTGCTTAATTGCCTCTGCTGTAAGTTCTTGTCCTTACTCTGCTAAAGGACTCCAACACTTCATTTTTTCTTTTTAGAGGAGCTGCTGTGGCCCCTAGTAAGTGGCACTGTCCTTTTTTTGTAAAATTTTCATCTCTAAAATAGTTTTTGCTGAATAAGAATGTTAAATGTATCAAAGAACAAAAGAAAAAGAGATATCGTAAGTGAATGATAATGTTTTTCTTTAATTCTGTTTTCAGGAATGACTGGATTCGAGTTGGCCTCTGTTACCCATCAGATGCCTCTTTTCAAGTAACCTTTGATGTATTCCAGAGACAAGCATCTGCTTATTATAATATGGAAGATTATGTTGCAGTGTCTTCAATGGCTGAGCTGCAGAAGAGACGAACGGAGAAAATTTTTTATTTTGATGATAGCACTGGGTAGACATTTTCCACAAAAATTAAAAGTAGAGTTTTATAATGTCTAAAGACTGTTTGGTCTGGCTTTCTAAGAGTTGGGAGATGTAACATGAATGCAATTCTAAGAGAAATCCTCATGGTTTGTGGTTAATGAACACATTTGTGATTGAAGGGTCATTTTTCTAAAGGTTAGCACAAGCTAAGCTGTTAAGAATGCACAGAAATTACTTTCCATTAAGTCAGTAATTTCATTATCTATCTTAGATCATTCTACACAGGGCTGTATCTTCCCTTCTTTTCTCTGTGAACTTGAATGTGTTTACTCACACAAGCATTGTTTCTCTCATGAGCACATACGTGGCATGTTAAAAAGATGGTGCTCTCGTTTCCAGCAAAATGGCTGTGATAAATGGCAGAATGAAGGTAATTCACAGTCTGAGTGGAGAGTTGATCAGATAACATAAAATCATTATTTAAGCAAAAAAGCAAAACAAATGAAATGAAATGAAACAAATAGCTTGATGGGAGATGTATAAAACAAACAATTGTGCCATTGTAGCACCCTTTGGAATGGCATGTGCTCTGCTTGATATTTCTCTGCTTCTGTATTCCTCGGCAGGCTGTTGTTTCTGTTTCTGCAAGCCAAGTACCACAGGGAAGGGCACAGTTACTGTTCATCTCAGGGATGTGAAAGAGTCAAAATACAGGCCAGCTTTCAGTCAAAGCCTATCAGTAACTGCTTAACAAAAGCGTATCCAAAGTACTTCCAGAAACCAACTGCTGTGAAAAGAATGCCCGCGAAAATTACTAATGTCTGTCAGAAATGTGGCTCAGACCAGGTGAGAAATGATTACAGAGTTAAGATTATATGCAACGTAAATATTTAATGGTTTATTACATAGTTTTCTGTCAGTTTGGCAGGTGAGTTGCAGAAAGAGGTGAATGTATTTCTCAAGGAAAATACGTATGGGAACCAGTCAAGCACAGTTCCCAGAATTGCCGTTTGTGTTGATAGAGCTGGCAAAAGTAGAAGAGTTCAGTCCAGAGTTCATCCAGTAGAACTTGTTTCTTCTTTAGAATAGGAATAATGTTTACTATTTACAAGTGTCCTTCATTTTGGGGTGCAGTATTGTCAGAATGCTGATGATGCCCCAGCCCAGACCAGGGATGCTTCAAAGTCCTAGCCTGGTTCTTGGAGGCCATCAGAGTCTGGATGGGTCAAAACAAGTTTAAGATTAAATCCCTGCAAAATGGATATGCTATTTGTCAGTAACCAATGTGGTCTGATCCCAGTTCCAACTGTGGTTCTGGACAGGATCACACTTCCACTAAAGGAGGAGATCCATTATTTGGGGTCCTCTTGGAGGGATCCCTAAAGCTATAGATGGAGCACATGGCTGGGGGGGTGTCATCCAGCTTTGGATGGCCAATCGCAGGAGTTTAAGGACAGGGATGTGTTCCTCTCATCTTGTGCATTGGTTACTTAACAAACTGAACATGGGATGGCCCCTGAAAACAACTGAGACTCTTCAACTGGTGCAATGTATGGTAGCTGTTAATTGGGGTAGTTGCTGCGTTGGTTACTGGCTTGCCTCCAGGTCCAGTTCAAAATTGGTTATCTCTTTAAAGTCCTCCATGGCTTGGTGTCAAGGTACCTGCAAGATAATCTTTCCCACCCAGATGTGGCTTCCTTATGTGATCTCCAAGGAAGGGAATGCAGATGGTTTGTACACCATGGGAGATAGCAGAGCTAAGTGATGTGCCTTCTCAGCTGCTGCCCTGCCCTTTGCAACCCCTTGCCTCCTGGGGTTAAAGAATACCAACAACCTTTTGGCTTTCAAGAAGCCCTTGAAAATATTCTTATTCTGCAGTGGGTATGGGTGCTCTCAATACTAAGGTTGCCTTAAATTAAACAGTTGTTGTTTTTATTGGCTTGTTACCTCAGCTGTAGACTACCTCGAGCCCTAGGTGGACTTTTGTATAAATCCATAAATAATTCCCCAGATGTTTGACACTAATTTCCACAGTTCTTCTCGGTAGTTTTGCTGACCAGCTGGTGGAGCTGGAAGTCCAAAATAACTGACGATAGCTTGCACTTGCTTTATCACTATGCTTGTCAGAAAATAGTGGTGAATAAAGTAGAAAGTGGCTTAATGACCAACAAAATAATTTATTATTGATTGTAGAGGCCCTTTTTCTGTTAGTAGTTTTTTATAATACCATGACTGGATTTTTTTCTGAATTGTTCCATTTCTGAGGTATGTTTTAAGAATATTTTCATAGAAAAATTATAATCCATTGATTTATACTATATTTACAGTAAACCATCAATTTAATGGACTAATGGGAAGAGCGTGTATCCAGTAGTTTTATCCATACATAAAATGGCAAATTGGATTTTATATATGTATAAAATGGTGAACAGGATTTTACCCATGTGCAAATCTGAACAGGGTCCAGTACATCCCAGGTCCACTAAACCTTAATTCAAGGATTTATTTTAATAACTTTTCTGTGACTCAACAAAATTGCATTCTTTCTCATTTTATCTTACATGGATGTCAGTTCATGTCTTTGTATGATTTTTTCCCAGTTCAATAATCTATTCTAAAAGGAACTGTCAAATAATACTAGAAATCACTACTTTTAAACATAAATGGTATCCTTAATATTCAGGTGGTATTTACCAGTGATCCTCATAAAACCTACATCTTTGTGAAAATCCAGACGTCAGATAAAATAGAATCACAAAGGAACCAAGAATATTCAATCTCTGTAAGTATTCTTGTAATCTTCCTGAGCTGTAGGTTGTCTTTTCGGCGTGACTGACTATCTTCTTATGAACTTTTAGGTATTTGACAGTAGATGGTTAGGACAGGGATGAAGAGCTTCCTCCCTTCGCTGGCAGCATGAGTTGCCTTTGCCTGCCGTCATCAGACTGTGAGGAAGCCTTGTATCAGGCACTCTGCAGGGTTCCCTTTGTGCAAGAGGTCTGGCGAGGCTCCTCTGTGCACCTGCCAAGCCCAGAGAATCACCTCCTGGCTGCTTAATGAACAGAGTAAAGAAGGTCTTGCTTAGTGAAAAGAAGAAATGTGGTTATTCTCCTCGCTCTAAGCTAGCCCCAAGATCAGCTGCCCACCCGGCCTGATACACAGATAAAAGGGAGCTCTTCTCCAAGCAGAGAAGACAGCCTTTCTGAAGCATGAAATAAAGAAGGCTAACCATGCCACAGAGAAGCATTCTCTGCTTATCTCTGTTTGTTTGATGCACAGGGGATAGTGGGCACAAGTCAGTCTCCTGTCCTGTGAGGAAGAGGGCTTGATTTAGCCCCCAAGCTGGATCTACTCTCCACCCCGATTTATGATCTAACTGCTTAATCAGCTTTACACATTTCTGCAAACAGGAGAAAGAAAAAATAAGCGAGGGGATTGGCATTTTCAGCATTCCTGTTGCTGCATATTTTGGCATGGTTAATTTTCAGAACGCCTTTGATAAATTTCTGTGGGAGAATTTCACAATAATGACATTTTAATACTCTTTATTTAGTCTTTAGAAGAGAAGCAGTTGTTTAAGTGGGGGAAGGAGGAGGTAGCATTAATTTATCTCCTTCCACTTTTCTACTTCAGCACTGAATATTCTTCAAAGTAAATCTTTCAGTTGACTAGTATTTATGTCCTATAGCTTAATGCATGCATTATCCTGATACTGTGATCAAAATTCTTGAACTCTTCAGGATTGGAGGGAAGAGAAGTAGACTAACAGGGCTTACTGGGGAGAATTTTCTTTAACTCACAAGGCAAATGAAAGAAAAGCATAAACTGCAGGCCCCAGTGGTACATTTACTATTTAAAAGGTTAAATAAAAATGTCTATACGAGGCTGCAATCAAGTCTCTTTTTCAGGGTTCAAAATGTGTAAATGAACATACACGCGGCTTCCGTAAAGCCAAGTTTTTAAAAGGAGTTCACAGCTAGAAACTCAGTATTGTCATCGATAAGCCAAACCATGTTCAATGCAGGGGACTGTTAGTGGCAGAAAGTTACAATACTGTATTTACAAATGACTGTTTGTAAATGGCATGGGAAAATATATGACTTAAGAAGTTTCTCCTTTCAGGTCAATGGTGTCAAGTTTCAGCTGAAAGGGGTAGGCCTCCTTGCCATAGTCATTGATGCCTGTGTTGGCAAAGTAACAAAAGAAACATTTTTTCCTGAAGGGAAGATCAAGCTCCTAGAAAATTATATAAAAACTGGAATTCCCCAGAGGTAGGTTAATATAGTGTAAATCCATCAGCTAGCTAGTAGCCTAAGTGGCTAGAGAAATGCAAATCTTGTATTTCTCTTTAAAATCCACAAACATGCTGTCAGAATAGTTAGGTGCTTTATAAAAAAACAACAATTAAGGTACTTACATTTTTGCTGTAAACTGGTCATTTCTTTAAAATTCGGAATGATGGAAGAACTATCATACTCTTGTATTAAAATTGCTTTAGCCATGGATAACTCGTGCTAGAAATTATTCTGCAGTCTGATCAGTTTTGGAAATTGAGCATGCACATATTGTTCCATAGTTTTATTTGGATTCAATATATGGGAACCTCACGACAGCATTTAACATTTCCCAAATCTTTTTCGCTTCCATTTGGCTTCTAAGACCTCATCAAATATTTTACTTATTATCTTTGCATCCACAGAATCTAGATCCTGCTTTTTAAAAAGAGAGAAAGAAATAAAATAGAAATTCTAGGTATTCTGTAGTGATTGTATCATATTATAGGTTAGCACAATGTGTGAACTAGACCAATATTTTCAAAGCATATTGTAATTATTTCTGCAGATTTCAAAATCCCCCACACAGCATGCTTCTGTGATTCATATTATTAGTTGCAGGAAATCAGCATTCTCCTCTGCTCTCCAACTTTATCTGTTCACCATTTTTGTCTTAGATCTTTAGTTCTGTTAACTAGCAGAGGAAACATAACAGATCTTAACATTTCTCAAGCCTTAATGACCCTGGGGGCAGCAAAACCAGCAAATCTTCAAAATTCAGGTTTGTTTGCTTTTGATATAATTTTTTTTCACTATCTGTGAAGATAGTGAAGACTGTGTACATTAGATTTAATGTGTATTTCATGAGATTTGGACATTTTTCAAATCTGCAGTGGTATCAGAACAAAACCTTTCTTTTAATGATATAATTATTTGTTGAGAATAATTATGTGAAATATCAATTAGACCCTCTTTTTTTCTCCTTACTTTCTGTTTCAGGGAGCATTAGTTTTCTGGGATTCAGAGGGAACTTTAAACCATCTTGGGTAAAGCTCTTTAGAAGTCCTGCAGGGCAGGACTTAGGTGTGATTGAAAAGTACATCCCTTTGCAGCTGGAAGAATACGGTTGTGCCAGAGTGAACACAAGCAAACGAAAAGATCTGGAACTCTTAAAGCAGGCTCTAAGATACAATAGAAATTAAAGTGCCTAGGGGTACTGAAGACAATGTGAACTAATTTATTTATTTGATGGGATTTTAAAATGTATTATTATCCCACCTGCTGTTTTGATCCGGACATATGCCTAAACCAAATGCTTGAATGACAGCCTGTGCACCTTTGGATTGTACAAAATATTAAAGAATAAAAGTATTTGTTAAAAATACCATTCCTTTGGCCGGTGTGCTTCTGTTATTATGTACTTTATTTAAAAAGCCTTTCATTTGAGGAGATGGCATTGTAGTCTCAAGAAAAAGTTAGAAGTATTGGAGAATTAGGATTGTATACTTTGGACTGCTTGAAAATCTTAGCAAAAGACTGGCAAATGTGTGCCAGTTTCTATTTCAAAATTTGCTTATTTTCCTTTTTTTGTCTTTGTGGCTGTGCACATGAATAGTGAACAAGTCAGACAGAAACTGATAGTGGAGTCCTTGGGGTTCTCTGAGCTTGGTTGTTTTTTTGCAAAAGTTTCATTACCCAGCTGGGTAACATCTTCAGAAACTGGTACACTATGACAATAATTCTCTGGGTGAGGAAAATACCCTTTTGAGGTTTCTCCAATCATGGATGCTGTTTCTAGGGCATTCTGTCATTTCATCAGGGCATCATTGGAAGGGAGGAAAAGGAGAGTTCAGAGAAGACAGGTTAGGAACCTGAAGCATGTTTCTATCCTAGCAGTTGTGCTAGAAGTCAGAACATAGTAGCCTAATGCTTCCGAATAAACAAGAGGCTGATTTAGGCCATTTGTAGCACACAAATCAGAATTAGGCCTTTTTAAGCAAATGATGCAGAAAGCCTATAAACAAACCAAGGCACATTAAAAAGACCTGAAATGTTTACAGGAACTAAATACCAGGCAGGTATGTTCTTAAATTGTACACAGCTATTCTTTTGGGGTCATATCCACAGCCCTAGATTTCTGTCAGAGTCCCAGAAAAAGTGTCCTTTCTTGAAGAGTTGTTCATAAGAGGTACCTATATTTATGCTTAAAATCTTTAGCAAACAGGGTAAGCTTTTTTCTGCTTCCTGTTCAGTATAGAAGACAAAAACTTTTCCCCAAGGAAGAAAAATCAAATAACCCTATTTTGTAAGGTTATTCCTGATACAAAAATGTCTGTTTTATAGCTAGAAATTAACATTACAGTATTTTTCACCTTGTTTCACTGAAAAAATCAATGGTGGGAAAAACAGTTCATTTTAGTTACCTCTACACAAGCTACATAGAACATCTTCCTAATACACTCAGCTAGAAGTTACCGTATTTGATCAATAATGATATGCTGGAATTAAGACAAGTCTGCATATATTTTCATTCAGTGTACAGATACAATGCATTGCCTTAATTTATGGTGGGACTACTGATTGACCCAGTTCCTTGATCTTTATTTTTTCACTGCTAGTGTTTGTAGTTTTCTATCAAGTGCGTTAAAGATAAGGTTAAACTACAAAGCACAGAAAATCCACATCGAGCAAAGCAGTTTCTTCCCACATACTGTTTCTACCGCCCTGGCTGATTAATGTTTTAATAGATGGAAATATGAACAACGTGATGTTGAGGTAAAAGCATTGAAATATCTAAATTTCAGATATTAGTAATTAGTTTCTTTGTAGTCAGTCCTTTTACAGAGTATTTTAAT